CAGCCCCCCCGCGACCCTCGTGAGGATTAAGCGGTGTATAGATGATGGATGGATGTATACTTAGTTGCACATTAAATAATTAATGTGTAATTTAAGAGGAACAGTTAAGAAATTAAAAGCAGCTTTCAGGGGCTGCTCGTTGAATTGTTTCCTAAATGTGTGCATCTGTGGTTCAGCTGTACATGTAGTGACAATTCATTTGCTCACTTCATGACCTTCTAAACAAATGTTGCTTGCCTATCACAATGCCTATTATCAGATCTTAATCTGGGCAACTTTCATCCCCTAACCTGCACATTTCTCCCCTTTTTCCCTTCTAAAGTAGCTTCAAGGTTTCTGAAACCATCTTGCTCCTTGCTGACTGACAGTATCAGCTTTTTTTTTTTTTAACTCTTGAACAAATCTATACGGTGATCACACTGACAGGAATTGAATAAGGTCTGGAAGCACAGCATGAGTTTGTAATGACTGACTCACCAATAGGACACTGTGAGGTTAACTGGCATGAGTTGTTTGTCTCCACTTCCAGCTGATAAAATTTGCCTCTGTGCAAATTGAAAGAAACGGTTATTTCAAACATGTTTATCAGACTAATACACACTTTATCTAATTATAGGAAAATTATAGGAATAGCAGCCATCTCTCTCTGTGCTTGTTGAGATCCCAAGTTGTATTTTTCTAGTTTCCAATCAAATGTTAAAGAGGTGTCCATCTTTAGTTTACACCTCCAGAAATGTCACCAGAGCAGCTACAGCGACGGGTGCAGCTTGGACATTAAAACGTTTCCAGAACCCTAAAACCAAATGCACAAACGGACAACCAGAAACCCACCCTTATGACAAAAACTTAATTCAAGGATGTTCTAGTTTTATCACATGGGCCCGTGGGACTCCTGGAGCTGGTGTCAGTCACTCAGCTGGAGTCATAAAGGCCAACAGAGAGACACACTGTCTCATAATAGCTTTTATTTGACTTGGATGGTTTTCATTCTGTTAGAAGAAATAACAAATAAATATTGTGGTGGGTAAACAAAACAATAAAAGATTTATTAGCCATGGAACTTCTCTGAAATATGACTTTTTAATGCTTTTCCCTTCCTTTATCTTGCTCTCATTCTCCTGCTTTCTTGTTTTTTTGTTATCATTCTCCACTGTGTTTGTCAGCAGTCCACAGAGGGCAGAGCCATATAAAAGAGATGCATACAAGATAGAGATAAACTAGATAAATTCAAGGCTATAGTTCGATAGTTAGGTAGATAGATGGCGAGAATGATGGATAATGGCGACTGATAAAGAATGGGATTGTAGGATTGAAATCAAGGCTGATAACAGCTTTGCTTTCTGTCTGTTTCCCATTTGCTCCAGCGTTGGAGCAACAAAGAGAGAAAAAAAAAGAACCTCCCTTCAGTTAAAAGAGAAAAAAAAAGGCAAAAAAACATCACCAAACCCAAAAAGTGTCAAAACCTTCAAAACAAGAAGTGTAAACACGAGGAATATTTTCCGGCTGTGCTGCACATTAAAATATCATAATACCATTCCTGTCTGTCAAATGTTTGCCTTTCTTGTGCTCTTTTGTGCTGAGCAAAATTGCACATAAAAGCACATATTTTCTTTGCCTAAAGAGTATACAATGCCAGGCACATACTTTTCCCATCAAGGCCTGCAGAGACAAAACAGGGAACGCTCATCTCTTGTCAAACAAAAGGAATGAGCCAGAAAACACAAAGCTGAAAGGGAAGCATCCAAAACGATGAAACCTTGTTAGTTTGAGGAAATGAGTTTTCTGTTTTCCGAGCACGGCTTGCCAATTAACATTCACAGCACTAATAAAAGTTGATTGGCTCTAGAATAATGCACAACCCATTTTCCTCCTGTGTACATGAATGCATGTGTGTGTAAATTAGATAGCTTAAGTGTACGGAGGATGCATGCGCGACTGGTAATTCCTAGATGCATGTGTGTGTGTGTGTGTGTGTGTGTGTGCTTGTCTGGTTGCAAAAAAAAATTGACCAGTAAGAGGCAGCGTTTCTTAATTGTGTGACAAGAAAATGTTATGAATATGAGTGGTATGTAATTGCCTTTTTCCACAGAGAGCCTGGCTGATTTCCATGCTGTGTGTATGTGTGTGTGTGTGTGTTTGTGTGTCAAGGTCGAAAAGGAAAGTCCAGGCGGAGGTCTGTTGCTCTTTTGTGCTGCTCTGCTGTGATTATCTAAGTGTATGCTGATTATCTAACATGCGTGGTCATGTTTTAATGTGCTGCCGCTGATTGGCTTTGTGAGCTTTCGGCTCAGGACTGACCGGCAGGAATATGGAGTGATTAGCTCGGCTGATGTTTCATACCTTTCTTACTCTCTCTCTCTAATTGCATTGTGTTTTCTGAACTCTGTTTACCTGCCACCCCTTCTTCCCCACATGCAACACTAACAGAGTTAAGGCGGGCTGTTGTGTCATGTCAGGAATCATCTGGCTCATGGAGATGTTCAATATGGAGAAAGAGAATTAGTGAGGATGTTGTCTGCACTGCATGTTTGGTGTGTGTAAAGAGAAAGAGGAGGAAAAAAAAAAAGGTCCTTGATGGTGCTGTTAAAAGGTGTTTCTGTGTGCGCTTGTGTGTGCTTTTCAGTTTCTCACAAGATGTATGATTGCTTCATTTTAAGCAACGCTACACCGTCGGAGTCCCAGAGTAAAGAAAAAAAAACATTGAAAACATATGAAACACACACACACACACACATTTACTGGCCTTTTATTCTGATTCCTCTTTCTTCATTCTTTTGCTGCCACTGCCTCTACATTAATCACACACACACACACAAACTTGTAGCCAGCAGATGGACTCATGCCAGCAGTATTTCTGATAGTTCCTTTTGTCTTTGAAGCTCTTTGGACCAAATTGTTCCACTGATCATAAATGTCATATCATCCTTCCTCTCTCCCTCTCCCTCCATCTCATTCTCCTTCTGTGCCTTTGTTCTGTAATTGGCTGTATGTGTGTGTGTGTGTGTGTGTGTGGCTGTGAAGGTGTGTGTGTGTGTGTGTGGCATAGATCAAATGTTTGCGGTTTTGTTTATCTTTTGACTTCCCATATCTCTGAGTGCGCCGAATACCTCGACTAATGCGTCCTGTCATTCTGTCTGTCCGTCTTCTGTCTCTCTCCGTTTCCAGAGACCTCAGCGAGAACCAGATCCAGGCGGTTCCGAGGAAAGCTTTCAGAGGAATCACCAGCGTCAAGAACCTGTAAGCACAAGCGCTCTTTTCTTCTTCTTTCCTTTCCTTCAGCTGCTTTTGTCCTCCCTCATTCCTCTCGTGTTCCTGCATCTCTTACTTTTTTTTTCTTCTTGGTTTTCTGTGACATTGAGCCTAATTTTTTTCATTATTTCTTTTCGAAAAATCAATACTGCTTCACATTCTCTTAATATTTCCTGAAACTCTTTGTGCTTCTTGATGGGTCGTGCATTACACATGCATGCTGTTCAATCTCACATAACTTATAATTTAGATTTCTAGTGGAAATTACAAGGTTATCTTTGATATGCTGTGTCTCTTAACTTAACTTAACTTAAAGGATGATGCATGAATTTACTGTACTGTACATAAAACTAGATAAGGCATCCAAACCAGTGATTTATGTGCCTGATATCCTGTTAAAATGTAGTTGTAAGCTACCAAATTGAACACCTTGACACATTTTCCACTTCCATGTGATTCATCTGGTATTTCCATCATCCTTCCACCTCCTCCTCTCCAGCAACCTTTCTTTCCTCCCAACCTCCACCGCCCTTTGCTTCCTTCTTCTGCACTTTCACACCTCCCCCCATTCCACTTTTCTCATCTTCTTTCTGCTTCGTCCCTTTTCCAGAGAGGTTTTGTCCTCACATCAGCGGCTCAATACCCCCCTGTCATTTATTCATGATGTCCAAATCACCAATACCCTGATCGATATGCTGCCTAATCAATACTTCTCATCAATAATGGCTGATCAATCCTGCCTCTAAACTACCAGACAGACTCTTGGGGCAATGTCCTCAATGTGAGAGAGTTCGATAAAGACAGACAGAATAGAGCAGAGTAGAATAGAAGAGAAGTGAGCACACCCCGGTGCAATGTCACCTCATTTTCAAGTGATTCAAAACTGTATCACCTTCCAGTAATTGCGTAACTTCTGAGTTGAACAGCAGGGTGTAAAATTAAAAACTAACGAACTAAACCTGCAGGCCTCTCAGAAGGAACTCAGTGCAACAAAAGACTTTATTTCTGAGCAGAGATTCAATTCTCCTCAGCATGAAGGATACTAGTGTTGCATACATTTCTAGAGAGAGATGTGCCATTTTTTAAGAGATGAATTTTTTTTCCAGCTGCTCTTGGCGTGAGAGTTTGTGTTGCTCTTCCTTTCTCTTTACAATACCCCAAAGAAATTCTAATGGATTCAAGTTAGACGACACACTGTTTTCACCTACTTTTTCTTTAGAAATCCTTGTGTGATTTTGGCAGTGTGCTTTGGATTGTTATCATGCTGGAATATTTCTCTTCTGCAAGGTATCTTGAGACAGGGAGTCAACTCCTTTCCCACTCATGCAGGCCTGTATCATTACTTTCTCAAATCCGTGCCTCACTGTCAAGACTATGCATGCACTGTGGCAGTCCGAGTCCGGTTCACAGCAAACATGCTGATCGAAAGGCAATTGCCTAAGCTGTCATTAAATATACAAGGTGTGTCTGAAAAGTTTCAGGACTGGTGTCACAAAAGATAGATTTCAAATCCAAACTACAAACTACAAGTTTTCCCCTTCCAAGTATCCCCCTGGGGTCTAACACACTTTCCCAGCCTTCTGTGCCACACCACCATGCACTCCTGGAAGGATTCTTCCAGGATCTTCTGCAGCTCCGTCATCACAGCCATCTTGATGTCGTCCACATCTTCAAAACGGGTCCCCTTGATGACCCCCTTTAGCTTGGGGCAGAGGAAAAAATCCTACAGAGCCAGGTGGGGTGAGTAGGGAGGTTGCTCCAGCACGGCGATGTTCAGCCAGGAGCTGTTGGATGCTCAGGGCGTTGTGAGCAGATGTGTTGTCATGGTGAAGCAGCCACCACTTGTCCTGCCACAACTCTCGCCTCTTCTCATGCACTGAACATAACAAGCAGCGCAGGATCTCTTTGTAGATGTGCTTTGGGTTTGGGTTTGAAATATATCTTTTGTGTCACCAGTCCTGGAACTTTTCTGACTCACCTCGTATGAGTGGGTAACCCCTGAGTCATGTCTAAAGCTGCTGACCTGCTGTGTTTCAGTGATAGAAGTAGCAGACTGTTCATGGTGTCATTTCAGAAGTACGACCACTGCAGCATTGATTAAGGGTACTATCGTTCTATACCTCCTGATTACTGCTGCAACTGTGTTTCACATGATTTTTAGTTGGCCACAGATCTTCCCGTATCCTCTTATGTCTTTGTCAAGTCTTAAGATGACACTTTTTTTTAGTTCCTCTTGTAATTTTTGTTTCCCTGTGGAGCCATGATGCAGACATGCAGATAGAAACAGCCCATTGAACCAAAGTTCAGAGGGTTCTGGTGGTTACAGGCCATTTTATAACCATGTTTATGCAGTTCGGCAGTTTGGAAGTCACACTCAATTGTGTACAAAAAAAAGGTTTGTTAACTTGTGTGTCAGTCATCACATGTGTATTCATTTTTGTTGCATTGAGTTTTTTTTTTTTACTTCGGGGCCTGTATTTTCAATATAGTTTTTCTAAAAGTATTTGTTTTTGCTTGCTCATAAGAGGAAATACTACTTGTCAACTTAGAAACAATGCAGGGGCTGAGAGATGATACAATTTTAGTGCACATGGGTTGGTGCACCTGTGTTGTGTACTGTAAGTACAGTTATCAGCATCAGTTCATGGTTATGGAGGAGAATTCAGGTTTATAAACAGTATGAGACAATGAAACTGAAACAGCAGGGGGGGAAAAAAAAACAGCAGATTAGCTCAACAAATCTTCTCTGAGTAAATTGAGGTTTGCTGTTGTGTTTTATCAGACATGACTGAAATGACAGAAGAGACGAAGAGAAGATGAGATAGAATAACAGAACAGCGCATAATAACTACAAGATGCAAAAAGATAATAACCCATCCGTCTCCAAGCTTTATTTCACTACCAAAGCTGCTGACTGACAGAAAAAAACAAACAGTGTTCTTTGGTTAAATGAGATGGAAAGAAAAAGAAGGAGACAGTGACTCAGGGGATGATTGTATCGTGATTGATTGATCTTAATGTAGTTGTCTTTACTCGTGTTTGCATTGCAGTGCGAATAAATAATCCTTTTTTTAACACCTGTCATGTGCAGAAATATTACAACCACACCGGGTAAATAAAGTAGACAGAGATGTCTCAAAAACAGGTTTTAACTTTGCAAGTAATAAACCATAAGTGCATGCACAGAAACAAAGGTGGGTCATATTTGATTGCATGCTAATTGTTTCTGTCCTATTTATCCATTGAACTACTGCTGATGAAGACAAATGAAAACAGATCTTCACTCATTCATTTCATCCAGTTATTTAATTTCATTCTACTGATGACGGTCGGATTATAGGATCTAAAGCGTCGGATCAGCTGCTAAATGGACCTTGTAGTGAGATTTATTTTCTCAACCGCTACTTAAAAGTTTGAGAATGGATTTTGAAGCTGTGTTTTGTTTTTTTTAAGTCACCAGAAAGAACTTTATATCTACAAATACTGATGAATGCAATGTGATATGATGGAAAGCTGTTGAACAAACCGTACTGGTGAGATTGTTTTGTCAACTACAGATTCTTTGGGTAGCTGACGAGTGCTGCTAATTGACATTCAACCCTATAAAACCCACCTTGGTCGTAACTAGGATTAAGTTACTCCAAAGACCAGTTTGTTGGTCCTTTTTTTCCATGAGGGTTTTGCAATATTTTTTCAATCTCTCTCTACATCAAACTAAAGTCTAAAGAAATGAGTTTAGATAAATGGGGCTCGACATTGTGGGCCAAGTGTGGGCTGCTGCAATCATCGCAGCATTTCAATCCTCTAGTAAAATCAACAGCTAAGGTTATAAAGAGCAGAGAGAATTACAACAAGTGCATGACTTTATTTCCAGCACCTCAGTAAAACAGGCCAGATACACATCCATCATTTCAAACTGGGAACTTGTGTGTCCTTGGATTCTTAGGCTCTACATTATGTGCTTTTTGCACATTTTCATTGGGCAATCTGTGAATTGATTAATATGCATCTTGGCACAGATCAGTAATTCAGAGTTAGGCTACAGGCAAATGTGCTCCTCTGCTTAGTTTCCTCTCCCAAGTGTGATGTAAGTTCAACGTGGCCGCCAAAGTCCACAGGAGATTATTACTCTTAAGTTAAATGGGCCTGAAAGTGTCTCTACTCTGCACTCTGTGTGTGTGTTTGTAAGTAAGCGAGTGTCAGTTCTCATGGCTGGACTCCAAACCTTTGAGTTCAGGTTGGCCTCTGATCATCTAATCCACTCTCGCTTCTCACATCGGACACAATCCAAACTAAACGCTACACACCACCTTACCTCTTTGACCTTAGACTTACTCAAGTATTTCACAACCATTTGAAGTTTGGTGCCAGAAAGCAAACAACTGCAGAGCATATCACATCTCAGCTGTGACCTCACAGCACCTTGCATTTTGAGATTAATGTCTTTAAGCTGTGCTTATCCAGGGACGGTTTGCTGAGTGCGCGAGCTCTTTTTTTTTTTTTTTGGTGATTCCCAGCATCACATTAATACATTAACACACATGAGTGCTGCCCAGTATAGCCACAGTCTCCTGCAGCTGTCCCACTGGTCAGTTACAATGCACAGTAGATGAAATTCTATTTTTCCAGACTTTACATGCATATATATATATACCGCTCTACGATGCTGCACTCTCCCTTTACCGTTCTCACACCAGGCTTGCTGCTGTAACACGACTCCCCACTTTGTGCCAAAGCTATAAAGTCATATCAATCAAACTGGACGGTAAAAATGTCTCTCCTCCTGTTAAAATGTTTTGCACTAAATAGCTTTGACCTACAAGGTGAATCATTTTGCTTTTTTTCCTGTTGGAATTAGGACCGACTATATAAAGATCATTCATCTGGTCTTCCTCCTCTTTTGACGTCTTGCAGCACCACCTCCACTTTCTCCTCCTCTTCCCTGTTCTGCTTGCCTTCCTTTCTCTGGTTGCTCCTCCTGTCACCAC